AGAGCTCCGAGGATGCGGGAGAGTCTGTGCCTTGACCAGGCTACATGGAGGTTTCCCAAAATTAGGGGTACCTTTTTTGGGGGTCCTAATAATAAGGATTATAGTATTTTGGGGTCTATATTGGGGTCCCATCATTTTGGGAAACTACCACATCGGGATGATAAAAGGACCCTGTAAAAAAATGTTACTTGGGTGACACTTCCATCTTTCTAAATGATGGCTCCGTTTCTGGAGGGCGCCTATGATGAGAATACTGAATGTCAGAGCGACAGGCAGATGTTTTGCTGCTGAAACATGCCAGGGTTTTGCGCAACTACCACATCATCTTAAAATCCGAACGGTATCCCAACTACAGCCTGCCATTCAAATTGCTGCACCTGCACTTCTTAAGGGTACTTGTAGCCTGGAGGACCTAATTAGATGGCGCAATCGGCATACTCCCGGGATAAGGCCTGGAAGATAGTGGCCTAGGCTGCAGGGAATGGTTGCAGCGCACTGTGCACTAAATCTCGGTACCATGCAGGCAACTACGGTTCAAGAGGCCTACCTTTTTCTGACTTGCACATACAAAATCTCACGAATTTGAAAACACTCCGCTTCGACTTACCCTCATGTTTGACTGCAGCATGGCTCGGATGAAAGTTGCAGGCCGGGTCAAAAGTCCTCGCATGGACCCTGAAGAGGCAACAACCTCAACTCTAAGCCTAAACCCTAGCCCCGAACCCTCAAGCCCTATACCCTAAATAGTATCTTCACCTATATAGCCCCCATATAACTGTCCAACAACAAATCCTGAACAGCAGCCCGAGGTTCTGTCGGGCTTCGAACCTTGATCTTGGGGGTCACATGCGGTAATTTCCCAAAATAAGGGGACCCAAGATAAACTCCAAATAGTCCTTATTAAAGGGGCCCCCAAAATGGTACCCCTAATTTTGGGAAATCCCCATGTTTGGGTTCTGAGTAGAGTTGCAATCGAATATGTATGGATATCATATGATATCATGGGACATGAAACTTCCTCCTGAGGAACAAAGGGAGAGTAGCTTTGGGAGTTACAGTCTATGGCACAAAGTGTTCTGCACTAAGCTCGGATCCCGCAACCCTACTTCACAATCCAAAAAGCCATGCCTGCATGATCCCCTATAAAGCCGGCACAGTTCCCGCATGACACCCACATATTAACCCCAATTCCTCAACACTAAAGCCCAGGAACTACACCAAAACCGCCACTTCCTCAACCATAAACCCTGAAATCAAAATGTGATACCTGAACTTTAAGCACTGAAACCTAAAACCTAAACACTACACACACTAACCCCTCAAAAGAAGGAGTCTCCAAGTAGCAAGCAGCCCATCAAGGCTTCGAGAACATTGGCTTCCTTCTTGGCCAGCCAGCGACCATCTGCCTTTTGGGGGATTGCTTGATGCTTCTGTAGGGTTTGGAGGGTTTGGGGTTTAGGGCTCGGTGTTTATGGCTTAGGGTTTAGGATTTAGGGTTTGGGGCTTGGGGTTGAAGATTTAGGGCTTAGGCCGTAGGGTTTAGGGTTTAGGGCTTAGGGTTCAGGGCTTAGGGTTCAGGGCTTGGGGTTCAGGGCTTGGGGTTCAGGGCTTAGGGTTCGGGCTCGGGGCTTGTTTAGGGTCTAGGATTTAGGGTTTCAGGTTATGATGGAGGGTTGAGGGTCAAATGGACAGAATGAAATGGAAAATTACATGGAAGCTGAAATGGAGTATGCGGGAATATGTAATCAGGGAAAATCAAACGAAAATTCAAATGGAATATGAAATAAATATCGGTGTTTCTAGAGGTGCGCTGGGGTTATACACATATACAACCCCTAGATAACTCATTGTAGTCGCTTCCATTTTCTTTTCCATTATCACTATATAACCTACATTACCCTACATGATCCCAATATTACCCGTTCAGGGTTCAGGGGTACTGCAGGGATCCTTCCCCCACGCACTATTAAAACGTTGTTATATTGGGTTATATTGGGATAATGGAAACTACTATAACTACTAAAACATATTAGGGCTACAATGGGTTGATATTAGGATATTGGAAACTCATCTGGATCATTCTCGAAATTTTGCCTCTAAGTGCCCTAGGCACTAGTCGTGAGAGGATTCCTTTTGCATCGGTGGATCTTAGAGGTGAAGCTCCCTGGCCTGCTGGACACACGGGTATGAGGTGATCATGCTTGAGAATCAGAATCCACAAATGGTAAGAATCTTGTATTGGGTTGTATTGGGATAATGGAAAAGAAAATGGAAAGTACTATGACTACTATAGTATAGTAGGGTTATATTGGGTTTGCATTGGGATAATGGAGACGAACAAGCACACTCTTGGGAGGCTGTTGACCCGGATGTGGAGCCACGATCTGTTATTTGAGCCACATACACACTTCCACACTGAGCCAAAGACAACACTCCGATTGCCAAAAACTACAGGTGACGTAGTCCCCAGGCCTTTAACCTTTGAGCTCAAGCCCCAAACCCTGCCAAGCTTTGACCCGGTCCTTGAACTCTTTTCCGAAGCCGTACTCGATGAGGGCATCGCCGCCCAACCTCAATGCTTGCAGGATCTTTTGATCAAAGCTGGCCTGCTTATATGAAGTGCGTGCATGCATGTGACAGAACATGCGGACTGAGTCTATTCGGGTGTCCCAGAGAAAACAGTTCAATTGAGCAGCTTTGCCAACCCTTCCTCTATAAGCAGGGTTTATTGGTGGATGCTTGGGGTTTTGCTTTGTTCAGAGCTCGGAACCAGAAGTTTCAGCTCTACATCCAGGCCGCTTTGCTTTGAACTTTAAAGCTAAACAAAATCCCGAATCTCAATATGCTGGACCCTTTTTACGCTGACAAGCCTGTGATCCACATGTGCATTCACTCAGGGAATTGTGACGATGAGGAGCTGCATGTCACTCACAAGCCCTTATTGCTGCCATCACACCTGGAGATAACTGCAATCATAGCCTGATGTACCCTTGCATTCAAGCCTTGAAGAAGATTACCATAGGGCCCCGAATCATTACGCATATCATTTCGAAGTCTATTTCAGGTCACCCTATGCCATACTTGCACAAGGAATCCAGGACATTCGTAGGTATCCAGGCTCTACATAGCTTATCCTCAAAACTATAACCCCTGTTGGTTAAAGGTTATATTACAGCACCGAATTTTTGGGAGGGTACCAGAATGGGACCCTAATTTTAGGAACTACCCTAAACCCTAAACCCTAAACCTTAAACCCTAACCCTAAACCCCCTAAACCCGAATGAAATCAGACGTACTTCCAATTGCTACCGAGCCACACCGGCTTGAAGTCCCAGGACCACAAGAAATAGGGTGCCCATGAGGCCTGGAGTGTTCCTATGGTTAACGGGGTTTAGGATTTAGGGTTTAGGGTGTAGTGCATTTTTGTTTAGGATTTAGGGTTTAGAGTTTAGTGATTTTTGTTGTTTGGGGTTTAGGGTTTAGAGTAACACTTCAACCTGCAGACAAGACAAAATACTAAGCTGTTTCTGGGCCCACAGTACCTTAGGAAGACAAACAACTTTTTACAGCAATACAAGGAATCACAAGCCCCGAAAAATATGCAGGATCTCTAACATTGATCCAGATTTAGGCTGCAGAATCAAACATAGGCAGCTTGTTGTGGGCATCACAAACATAAAATGGGTTCTAGATGTGCGCTAGCCGGGAGGTTCTCCACATGAAAGCAAGCCTAAACCCGAACCTGAAGCACTTTTCCGACGTTTTCCCAACGGCCTGTTCTTTGCTGCTACTTTGGAACAACCCTCAGATACGGCAGTTTCTAACAACGCGGGATGGTGTGAACGATAGCTCAGAAATCTTCAAACCAAAACCTAGACCCTTTCGCCGTTAATTTATGCTCACCCAGCCCCATGTTCTCCTCATATCCAGACTGGCCTTCTGCTCTCTAAAAACAGAAAAGAGTTTCTCCAATGGGTCCACGTAGCATGTTCCGTACTCGGTCTGAAACCAAGCAGATCCGCGCAGGAACACATGTACTCTGTACGGTTGGCCTGAGTGGATCGAGGCGTTTCTCCCCCCAACTCTGCCAAAAGCCGGCAACCAAATTGGTGACGACAACAGCAACAGCCAGAGCAACCGCAACGACAGCGCCAGCTGCAACACCAACCACAAGAGCAACGACAACGGCGGCAGTATTAGCAGCAGCAACAACTACAACAACCACGACGACAACAGCGACGACAACGGCAACAGCAACAGCAACAGCAATCACAACAACGACTGCAACAACAGGAGCAGGAGCAGCAGCAGGAGCTGAAGTGGTAGCAGCCGGCGCCGCGACGGCCACCGCCGCTGTCGTTGTCGTCGTTGGTTTTGTTTCTGCGCTCCCTGGTTGCTTGCTGCGAACGCGGTGGCGTTTGCTACAGCGGCGGTGATGCTGATGACCATCACGTTGACACCTACGGTGCCAGCAGTGGTGGCGGTGGCTGACATGGTGGTAGCGTGGCGGTGGTAGCGTGGCGGTAGTCGCGCTGCGAACGCTGGTCTGGTGGTCGTGCAGTTGGCAGTGCTGGTAGCAATGCCGGTGTCGTGCTGCTGGTGTTGATGCTGGTGACAATTCCAGTTAGGGTCTTGGCGCAAGCAGCACAAAAGTCAACTTTGCTTGTGTACTCCCAGCAGAAGAACAAACCAAATGACCACATCTTGGGGATGGCCTGGCTTGCTGAGGGTCCCCAGAGCAAACACAATAGCAAGACTTGTGGAAGCAAACAAGGTTTGCACAAGCATGGTACGAATGTAAGAACGTGACTCACTCACAACAGGACTCATAACGACATACAGCGGATGCCAACGAAAACTAGACGGACAAGTAATGACACCGAAAAGGGTAACAACGATGGAAATATGAATGATGAAGACTGCCTCGGCCACCCTAAGCCCTAAACCTAAATCTGAAGCCCACACCCCAGACCAAAAAAAAGTAAGCCAGGGCAAGCATCACCCTCCTCGGCACTTCCCACCAGACTGAAGAGAGCCTGGAGAAAAGGTACTCGATTAGGCACGCAAGCACGGAAGAAGCTGCCAAACACCCTCTCGCCCTACTCTCTGCCTGAATCTCCCATACTTGCAGCCTGGAAGGGCGTTTTCAGATTCTGTCGGAAGCAGTTTCAGAATAACGCGCATCTCAGAAGAAATGCAAAGACCACCGCAACATACCACAATGGTGTATATCATGATCATATAGTAAGCTTCCGCTCAAGTAGGACGACCCCAACCCAGACCTCCTTGCCTGAAGAACTTTGTCGTGAGATCCCACATCCGCTTTTCCTTACCAGTAGCACAGGAAGCGGAGATGGGAAGAATCAAGGAACAGTTCTGCTTGGCAGCGAAGGCCTTGGGGTTTGCTGCGGTTTGCAGGGATAGTGCTGCAAGCCCAACCCTAAAAAGGAGCGCCATGACCCGATCATCTGAAGAAGTGAACGCCATCCTCGCGGAAGCAACCGACGAGTTCTCTCCAAACACACGCCCAAAAGCAAAACTGCACAGATGAGTATTACACAGAAGCCACCGAAAAGGACCAGGATCTGAACTAAATGCTCAACCCTAAAACCCCTCAAACCTTTAAAGCCCCTAAAAAACCCAAATCGCCTGAAGCCTCTAAACTCCTGAACCTCCAAAAACGCCTTTAAACACCTCAAAAATGCCACAAAACCCACCAAATCCTATTAAGCCCCTACCCCCTCATGGCTCAAGAGCCAAGCTTCCCTCTGGGTAGAGTTCGGCTTCCAGCTCCCTCCAGAGGGCAGTCTGGAAGCACTTGACCTGCAAACTTCCCAACGGGAGGCGTCGCAACAGGACACTTTGGGTTTGGCGTTTGGTGTTGAGGCTTGCCAGGATTCAGGGTCTAGGGCTTAGGATCTAGTTTAGAGGCGCAGGGCTGAGGATTTAGCAACTTTCCGAAAGGTAGGATACCCTCCGACCAGCTTGTCAATACTTAGCAACATGAAACCACATGAACGTTGTGCCCTCGAATCTGAAGGAAAATGCAAACCTCGTGAGAAAAAACAGCTGCTAAAGGACTGTGAGATTATGAGGGCTCATAACTTAAAACATACCAAAGATAGAATGCCGAATTGAACACAGCTGCCTTAGGTTCACAACGCTCTTCACTTCCGATTCGAAGCTTAGGAAGTATACTTGTTAGTTTTACGGAAGCCGTGCCTCCATGTGAGTCGTCTCCTGTACGTTTACAACACCACAGCCAAATTTCGAGAGGTGGCCAAGGAGAAGGCTGAGATCTTTGACTCCCAGCTGTTTCCTCATGCGGGGCAAGGCTCCCTCGCAATATTCGGGGATCATTATACCCTCGGTTGGGCCCCCGCCCACTAATAGTGGCATACTAGGAGTATATAGGGACCCTAATTTAAGATAGTTACCATTACCTCCCGTGCTCACTATTAGTGGGTGGGGGCCCAACCTAACTAATACCTCCCCAAACCCAAAACCTGGGTTTAAAAACGTCAAAGCCATGCAGGACAGTCTAGAATCCTATAGCCTAAACTCTGAACCCTCATCATGTGAGACTTTGAAAGAAACCCAAAAATGGATGCAAAAGATGGTGCCAGTCGCCATCCCTTTGCGTCCGGTCGCCCAGATTCAGCTGTCAGCCTCTTGAAGTAGAAGTCATCCTGGGCTGCTTCGCGGGCTCAAAAGGAATTTCAAATCAGGGACCAGAATAAATACATCTGTTTACCATATCAATACTATGTTCCCTTAGCTTTCTGGATTTGTCTCAGTTTCCGTTTCATGTTGAACTGTTGTTTCTATGTGAGTCTCCATTACGCAAGCTTAAGTTCAGCTCCTTAACAATACCCTAAATCCTAAACCCTACGTAAATCCTGGCCAGCATCTGAGTATAGCCAGTTTGTAGCCAGTTTCTGCTCTTCCGTGTCTCTCAACACCTCGGTCTCCCCCACGCAGCCCGTCATTATCCTAACGCCCTGAAACTCTTAACCCTGATTCATCCGACATCTCTGTCACAAATCCTAAGCACCCAACCTTGGAGCCCCCCACCCACCTGGAAGCTTCCGACCACCTTGCCGGTACGACGCCAGAGGATCGACCGGCTGCTGAAGCGTTCAGTCTCCTGAAGAAAATCGCGCAGCGTCACAAACTGGATCTCCTCCTTTCGGGTTTCTGAACTTCTCGGCCTTTGGGCGGCTTTCGAGGTTTACTGGTTGAGGATTTAAGGAATCACAGCCCCGGTTCTGGCTCAGGTTTTTCCTGGGAAGACTACGCAGGGCACGCCTAAAAATGCCTAAAACCTATGCAGGGGTTTAGGGTTTAGGGCTCGGGGATGCATGTGGAGATTATGCAGATGTGAATGGTCTTTGGGTCAGTACCAGTGTTCATTCAATTTTCCATTTTCTGGATCACTTGATTCTACATTCTTGGTATAGCATTGGTAGTTGAGCCTCCAAGGTTTCGGCTTTCATGGCATTAGATTTCAGGTCCTGGTTCCGCGCGTGCGCTGGTAGGAATCAACTGCTCATATGGGGGGGTTGTCACAATGCTGCCGCCCATATTACACACAGGGTACCCGCAAGCCACCACAATTTTGACGACCTACCATAGACATTTCCACATCTGAATAACGCATGTTGTCAACATAGAAAGCTGATAACATTCACAGGGGCCAGAACTGAAAGAGCCTACCACCCCAGCGCCACCCCTGTTGCATGAACCCGAAACCCAAAACAGTCCAAAAAATACCATAAGCCCCGAACATGTTTAACCTGCATATCCTTCAAGTCTTCATGAAATGTCAATATCGTATGCTTCAAGCTTGTAAAGACACCTGCCACTAGGAGTTTACATACGTCTGCTACCCAAGAAAACTACAAACCTCGAGAAAGAGTCTCCTCCGCCACAAAGCGCCTGAATGTCTCCCCTGCGTATTCCTTGAAAAGCTTGTCCTCAGAGCAAGGGTTGTTCTCCAAAAGATGTGAAATGGCTTCTACTGAAAATTACTGCATGTTCAGGAGTAGTGGGGTTGGATTCTTTAAAACCGTCAGGCAGCCCTACAATGCACACACACCAGGCCGCTACCACGCGCATGCGAATTCCAAAGGGCTGAGGATCTGCGCTCGCAACTTAGAGTGCTGAGTTACAGGTCAAAGGTGCAGCACGCTTCGGGCTAAGGAAGGAGTCGAATGGATGGTAGCTTCCACAGCACGGTAGCAAACAGCGAAAGGAAAAAGGTTCGGAACATGAAGTCCGTCCGTCTTCTTTTGAACATGAAGTGATGTGCAGGCCCGTGAAACTGGCTGCCAAGCATCCCCTAGATCCTCCCAGGATTTGAACTTCTCAGCAGCACCCTTTTGGCTCGCATGATGGCGCGAAGCCGTCTCACCACGCCAGTGATCGCTCAACTTTTGGTCTCTCTCGAGCCAGTGGACCTCAACAGTAAGGATACACGAGCATTTAACTGAAAGAACGTGATTGAAAGTGAAAAAATCTGGACACTGAAAAATGTGGAGATCTCTGTAAAAAGAATCGCAAGCCTTGGTAGGAACAAAAGACATAAACTTAAGTGGACCTCGCGGAACCAACCCTTGATCAGTCGTTCCTTTTTCTCGTGAAGGTGTGAAGTGTGGGCTCCGTAGCATCCAAGCAACCCGTTGTCCAAAATCGCGCCCATAAATCCCAAATAAGAGCGAATCCTAAACCCCAAACCCCTAAAACCTCAACCCCTAAACTTACCCTACAACCCTGAACGTTCTGCATCCGGCTGACTCTGAGCATCAGGAGCCGGGCCCACTCACAGCGCTGCTCGTAAAGCATACAGGGTCCTTCCCTGTCTTGGAGGCCTTCGAACCTGGGTTCACTCCTGTTTCGGTCTTCCGTGCATTATCAGGGGTTTCCAATTTGGACTCAAAAACTGTGCTGGGCAAACTTGTACTTCAACAATGCCCCTGCAGCTCCGTCTGCATGGCTTGGAACCTGCGCAAGGCTCCCTGTTCACCCCAGATTAGTCCCAGTGTGTCCCTTCAGCCGCTTTGTAGTACCCCTGTCATTCACGAGAAGCTCAAAGGCCAAACTAAATACCCTTCTGAGACGGACTTCTCAAACGACTACATACCTATGGAAGCCTATGAAACCCTTTAAAACCTTTTAGACCATTCAAACCCCTGGAACCCGAAGCACATCTTCAACCTCAGTCACCTCACCATCAGCTCCTTGACCGCCTCATTTTGCAGGTCGAGCTGTTTCAGCCTCGCAGCAACAGCCTTGTCAGCGAGGAATTCCTTGTAGTCCTTGTGCGTTGGGCTCAGGCTGTGGAGTTCTTTAGCTGTAGCAACACGAACTCTACAGTAGCCATTATAGTAGTGATTATGCCAACAACACCAATCAACAACTGTCACAACATGATGAGGATAGTGCCAACAAGTATGGAGGTGACAGAATGATGACAACCAATGAGTCAGCCTCACAACAGCTGGTATACATATGATTCACCAGCTTGAAACATTACGGTCCTTGTCTTGCTTCTTCTGCAAACATGCAGCGCACTCTGGGTGTTCCCAGTTCATCTTGCGGCGAAACTCGCCACGCTCTTTCCTGCAGTGGGCTTATACATCAGGACCTAGGGACCCTGTCAGAAGACATCCTGTTCTTCTGAGGCTTATATTAGGGTTATATTAGGGTTGTATTAGGGTTATATTGGGTTATATTAGGGTTATATTGGGTTATATTAGGGTTATATTAGGGTTATGCTGGGTTATATTAGGGGTTATATTGGGGTTATATTGGGTTATATTAGGGGTATTTTGGGGTTATATTGCAATTATTTTGGGGTTATATTGGGGTTATATTAGGGTTACAACCTTGGGATCTCTTCTCGGGATGAGCTGACGGCTGAAAAATCCTGTCGTCCTTGTGTTGCACAGACGGCAGAGGATCAAACTTTCCTCCGCACGCTTCGCAGCGACGCAGTCGATGCAGAGTGTACCGTCCCTAGGTCCCGGAATTCTCTCCCTCTGAGAAAAAGCCTCTGCTTAAGTCCGTTGCGCTGAAACCCTTAGCAGACTTCTTCTGCAGAGACAAAGCCGAAGTGCTTCACAACCCTACCGCAGTCCCCACATTCCCCCCCTCAAAGGCTGCAAAGTTAAGCTGAGTTTCAGGGTCGCCCTTCGGTAGCGTTTGTGAAAAGCTGTCAGAGGCCTCAGCCTTTGACAAATGGCGCAGCGAAGGACTCTCTCGTCATCCTGGGAACTCGGATCTGCCATGGCTTTCTGGCTCTCAAAGCTCCCAGGATCCACGGGATCCACGGGATCCACGGTTCTGCGCGTGGCCGCGCGGAAGCGGTCTTATTAAGCTGGAGGTGCTTTGGGACCCCCCAACTTCTGGTGGAGGTAGTTCTGAGTCATGGAAGTATCCTTGAGGGTTGGGTGTTCGGGGTTGGGGTGTGGGGGGCTTTGGAGGCTATAGGGGCTTTTGAGCTGTTCAAAGCGACCCCAGGCTTGGGCCTGGTACCGCGATGTACCTGGATACTTTGGGCGCTGCCCCCGCCCGATAACAGTTTACATGAGAGGGGGAAGATGAAGGGCGGCCGTAAATAAGTGTACTACATGTATTATCCAACTGTTACTGAGTGGGGGCAGTATATACCCAATTACTACTTCCACTTCAAAAGTTCCCACCTCTCCCACTCCTCACTTTGGGGCAGGAGCGACTGCACAATGAGAAAAGTCCCACCTTCAAGCTTTTAGCACAAGCCGTCTTTGTGAAAGGTTTCAACTTCTTCCACGCATGAAGGGAAAGGGCAAACTCGGAATGCCATCAATACGGGCCCTACAAAAGGCATGCTAGTAGTAGGGGACTTCCATCTTGTTTTGGCAGGGTCCGCATTGCCTAGGGGTGGTTATGGTGCAGGACTCCAAGTTTGGTGTCCTAAGGTTCAGGCTGCGGAGCTCAGTCTCAAGAAAATGAAGCCCCCTTCACATAAACAAGAACTCAAGAAACTTACCTCATCCGAAACATCATGGAGCATCAACAGAGAATACAGCGGAACAACTGTAGGCACCCCCCGCACCCCGGAACATAGAAAGTGAACCGCGGGCCTTGAATTCCAAGCCCGTGCACGAACAACCTCATAAGGTAGACCTGTAATTATTAAACCCCCTCCCCTTAACAAGGAATATCATAGGGATCCTAATATTAAGGCTCCAGGCCCTAAACCCTAAACCCCGAACCCAGTACAATAGGGATCCCAATCTTAAGGTCCTTAGAAAGGGGGGGTTATTAATCACGGATCCACCTTACTGTACCATTCCCGGGCACCTCGACATCATTGGCGTCTCCGACTCTGAGAACATTCCAGCCATAGGCTATGAACCGGGTGGTGATGTCTTCTGAGATGGCCCACCTTCCATGCAAGCTATAGTCTAAACTCCCCCCTTCATAACACCTTAGGGTTTAGGGTCTAGGGTTAAGGGCTTAGGGTTTAGGATCTAAACTCCTAGTATCCCCTTCATAACCCGTATATTCCTCTCCTATATAAGCCCCTATATAACCCCTCTAAGGAGTTTAGACTAATGTTCCATCCCGCTAATGAAGGGACTGCATTTGCTTTCTAACAAGTTCGGAGCCCGAAAAGGTCTAAACAAGGTCCATCGGCAATAGCAAGGGGGTGGCAATACTAATATTGTCCGCCCGAAAATATCCCGATTTTGAAAAATGAGCCGTACTTCCTCCTACTACTAGTACTACGAGCACGAGCTGCACTACCTGGTGCTACTCCAACCCCTTGTTTTACTGTTGCAACCCCCCTTCCATAAACCCAAAATGCAAGACAAGTATTTTGGGAGAACTCTTTATGGGCATGGTAACATTACAGCTCATGTACTTGCTACAGTCACAGGAGGAACCTGGTTAGCTTACCTTGCTTGTCTGGCAAACCTTCGCAGGCACCAATTCCGAAACGAGCATCGTGTAGCTCTGCAAGTAACCCAGCGAAAACCTGCTCTCAACATTCTATGTTATTAAGGTTATATAGGAATAACGGAAAGGACAATGGAAACTACTATACTGTAATCGGGTGTATATTGGGGTTATATTCTACAAGGACTATACAGGATCTGGGCACAATTTATCTCAACATCATGCTGAAACCTTTGGTAATTTCCCAAAATAGGGAGGACCCAATATGGACCCCCAAGTACTATAATCCGCATGGTACTGCCACCCACAAACATACCCGATATTTTGGGAAACCCGCGCCGCCCCCTCTCCCGATGATCCCAATGTGCAAACAGGCCAGGCCAACGATGTGTTGCCCTCAATTGTGATTTGATTGTTGTCCCAAATCCAACCTCAGCACTGCATGACATTTAAGTTTACCTAGATGAGGGGGACCCCCAATATAGACCCAAAAAAAATGATCCCTATCTTTGGGACCCCTGAAAAAGGTCCCCAAATTTGGAAAACCCCGACATCGAAGTAATACGTGCACCACAGATGTTTTTCAATGCAGAAGCAAGATGGGTTGACAATGGGTCTTGGGGCCACGCTTGGCTCAGGGTCAACAGGCTGAAGCTAACCACAATCTTGAAAACGATGCTGGTCCAACGCACACATCTGCGAAAGAATCGTACTAATCATCTTTACCGTTCAGATCCGCCAAGAGTCATATGCGCAGTCAAACAGAGGGAATCCCGACATGTGAGACTTTTCGGAGTATCAGCTTGCGCGTTGTCGTACACACTGTGGAATGTCATGGCAGAAAAATTGCAAACTACCAGGTCGGGAGTTGTCAAAAAAAGGTCTATCCCGCGGACCCTCAATACTAGGGGATCTGTTACACTAGGCACTCCCAGCAAGGGATGACAACTGGACAACCTACCCTCGCATGAGGTTGTCGGATCCTGAAAATGAGGATCCATTGTGCAGAAATATTCAATGGCCCAAAACCCTAAACCGCATAAGTTTTTCACCTCCACCCTCCCCCAAGCTGCCGACAAAGATTATCCAGTTTCAAATGACCTTCCCGCCGCAGCGCTACAGCCAAAAAAGGATGCCACACATTTCAGCAGGGATTTAGGGACGAGGGATTTGGGATTGGGGCTGAGGGATTAGGGTTGAGCGCTCAGGGGACACACATCAGGCTCAGGCATTAATGTTGAGATAGCATTAATAAAGGGGGTGACAATAGCATTGAGTTGCCGGGCCGGAAAAATCCCGTACAA